GATACTCCTTGATATATTTTTACCAAAGGGCATTTATCTAAGCTCTAGCCACAGACAGGTGACAGCAATGTCAACCTTACCTGGCGGCCCCACCCCAACAAGAAAATCTTTGCCTTGTTTTGGGTGTGCATAGTTTCAGATACAGGACATCTGTCAGATCTAAGTCAGCATAGGTTTAACTTCATGATGCAAAGCAAAACGCTTTTGAGAGCAAAATCTCCCAGGAGTGCCTCCACCCCCAGCAACTGCAGAAAAGAAGGCGTCTGTGGGAGAGAAGGGTGGCTATAGACGTCATTGCATCTTCCAGATCCCAGCTGTGACCTGGCTCAGAGTTTTACAGTTAAAAATAACCGTGGCTTAGAGTTGGGGGAAAAAAGTAAACTGTTGCATCTCCATGGAAACTAGGAGAGGGAAAAAGGCAAGCCATGGATTTCCAGCAGATGTGGCAAGATGGGGTGGATATAGAGGCTGGGAGCTTAGAGGCCCTCTGGTGAAAGGAGATAGCCCTGATTAGCAACCAGGGTGTAGCCAGACATCTCTCCAGGGCTCTGGAGACACACTTTGCACCCAAGATAGGTTTGCAACAACAGTGTGTACATCAGGTGAAGAATTATTTGAGTCTTCCAACTTCCTGGAACGCAGATTTGCTACTCTTCGGCAAACTGAGAGCAGAGGAGCAACACAGTAGGTTAGATGTTGCCTTCTAACCAATCTGAGAACCTCTGCTCTGCCCCACCACCTCCCCACCCCATTCACCTTCCGCTCTTTCATCTGCATAGTCAGAGGCTTGACATAACATAGGTAGCAATTTCTAACTAGAGGGGAAGTCTTCAGGCTCTTGGGCTGACAGGGACATTTATTCCTATTTGGTAGGACCCAGTTATTTCTCTTTGGTGTCGTAGGAGATAATGCAAAGTGGCATTAATTACCAAGGATGTCCTTAAAAGTATGTCTTACCATTTCTGGTACTGTTACTATCAGAGGTGACTAACTCTTGGGGGGGTGAGGGATATTTTATTTCTTCATATCCCCTTTCTTTAAAGGTTTCTTTAAAAACAATCTTTTTCCTCAAGAAATACATGAATACGTTCTAGTTGTAAAAATTTTTTTTAATCCCCTCTCTTTTCCTTTCTAAATGAAGAGTTTATATGCATTCTTGTTTACCTGCCCAGTGTATATATTGGAAAGACCTGCGTGCTAATCCTCTGCTACTTAATAATAATACAAACTTGTGCAAGTTTCTCAACCTCTCATGTCTAAAGTGTGGTTGATAATACCTACCTGACTGGGTTTGATGAAAATTAAATGGGATAAGGCATGTAATACACCAGGTACCTCCCTTCCTTCCCTTGGAGCCTTTGGTGTTTTCATTTAACTCCAGCCAGGTATGAACAAACACTTGATTTTCCTGTACTACACAATTCACACCATGCTGAAGTCTCACAGAGGGCCACTAAGATCTGAAAGACACAGAGCAAGTGTTAATACAGGCAGATGTGCATTTTTCAAGGATGTTGTTTATACTGGAATTCTCATCACTGTGCATCATTGCCACAGTCCCAGGGTTGAATTAAAGGCAGAAAATTTCAGAGACAGATAGATAGTAAATGACCTAGTTATCCTAGACATGTTGTAATATTCCCTTATATAATGCTCGGGAAGCTTGAAGTCAGGTTACAAAACTGTATGCACACTATGGTTGTAACTGTGTAATGAAAACTAAAGTATCATGTGTACTGACAAGACCAGAAAGAAAAGATGCTAATCGTTGTTAAGTATTAAAATTATGGGTCATGCTTTTTCTTTTTTTTTGGTAATGTGACATTTCTTTATTAATGGAAAAATAAATTTTATAAGAACTATGAAGACTCAAAAAATAGAAGTTTAAAGTATTGTACATTAATAAAATATAGTTAGTCCTTACGATAGCCCTACAAGGTGCTATCTTACATCTTATAAAATTGTACTAACCTTAGGCAAATTTCTGTAATAGATTAAATGTGTTTTGGGACTCTATCCTCCTAGTTCTTTTATCTTTTCCATATTTATAGTTTCTTCCCAGATACTTGGTGTCCGCTGGACAGTAGCTTAAAGGTTTACTTCTCTGGGGGATTTGCATTTTTATAGCTATCAGTGGTATATACTCTGGAATTACAGGCATTAGCAAGCAGGCATTCAAGATATCTGTGAGTCACAGGACCCGATGACACCCTGAAATCAAACTTCTGTAGACTGGGGAGCCCTGATCACAGCTGTTCCCCGATTCTGACAGATATATCAAAGCTATTGCCAATTTGTTAACCAAAGGCAATGATACTAATGGAAGATGCAACTGTTCTTTCTGAGGGACTCGTAAAGGTCTGATTAATCTAAGGAGCAGTATGTCCAAACAATTAAGAATACTTTTGGAAAGGTAGACCAGAAGCCAAGCTGAGTAGAAGTTTCCACCCTCCACGTACTGTGTCTGATCAGATGCCCTGTCATTCTGCGCAGAAGCTGCACTGCTTATTCAGATGTAGTCAGGAGCACCCTCCCCTTCTCTGGACGTAGACATGTCATACATTTGTAGCAGACAGTCTCTAAGATGTTTCTACATCTAAAATAGTTGACACCTATAAAGAAACCTATTTATAGTCTAGTAACGTGCTGTCCAGTAAGGTAGCCACTAGCCTCATGTGGCTATTTAAATTGATTAAAATTAATTTTAATAAAAAATTCAGTTCCTGAGTCACACTAGCCACACTTCAAGTGTTTATTTTTTATTTTTTTTTTTTTAAAGATTTTATTTATTCAGTTTTTTTCCCCCCAAAGCCCCAGCAGACAGTTGTATGTCATAGGTTCACATCCTTCTAGTTGCTGTACATGGGACTCGGCCTCACGTTGGACGGAGAAGTGGTGCCTCGGGGCGCTCCCGGGATCCGAACCCAGGCCGCCAGCATCAGAGCGCGCGCACTTAACCGCTAAGCCACGGAGCCGGCCCCACTTCAAGTGTTTAAAAGCCACATGAGGTTAGTGGCTACAGCACTGGAGAGTGCAGATACATCACACCAAGTTCTATTGGATAGTGCTGGTCTAGAAGATAATACCTTCAAACTGCATTTTTGTAGAGATATATAGAAGCCCTCACTTCCACGTTTTGTAGAGGCATAAAGCACCTCCCTACCCAGGGGCATATATGTAGAGTCATTAAATGTTCTTACTGACTTCAGCACTTCTTCCTACTTTCCTTAATCTCTAGATCTTCACACGTACATCACACTCAACACAAACTCTATTTTAGCCCTCCTCCCTCCTCTACTGATGAGGATGTGATTCTTCATGGTAGGCTTAGTTCCTATAATCCATGAAAACGCTCAGCTCCTTGTCACTAACCAGAGCTGTTCTGGAAATCTGCCTTCTGTGTAACAAGCTTGAATATGAAGAGGGATGTATCTGTTTGTGCTGCTGAGTCATTGAACGGATTGAAGGAAGGACTGTGGGGGGAGAAACAGATGAAAGCAGCATACAATCGTTTCTATTAGAGATTTTGCTATTTTGGTATTGGCATGTCAAAAATAAGTCACTAGATGAATTGATGGTGGAGCAATTTCATGCCGGGAAGATGCCTTTCCCAGGCAAGATTTGAACTCCTAGTGTTTTATCCTGAATCAGATTCTGCTTTGTTCTCTTGCAGAAAGATTAATTTTGCCTAATGTTAAACCTTTAATTCTTTTTATGAAAGCAAAAATAAACAAATCTCTCCATTCTAGGCCTTTTTAGCTCCCTTAAGATTATCACTAAAGTGCCTTTGATGTTATATTTTTGTCTGGGAAGCAGCCAGAACTTTTAGATATTCCTGCACCCACGGGATGACTCTTGAATCCGGTCAGAGATCAGAAAGAGCATAAAAAGGCCTCAAAGCTTTTGGTTGAAGATGCTGGGAGATGTAAAACCAAAGCGCGATTTTTACTTTCCTCACCTAACCCCTCCCTCCAAATCTATGACTACTCGTTTGACTATTCGGCAATTCTGATGCCAATGATTTACAACGGTGAGGAGCTGGGTCTGGGGAGTAAAGGGCTGGGCGCAGAGTCAGGACTCTTAGGTCTATGAATCACTGCAGAGCCTTGAGGAAGTCGTTTATACCTCCCCTCACCTGCCAGAACAGGGGTGTGCTGAAAAAAGTCCGTTTTGCACCTACTTAGGTTACAGATAGGCAAACCTAAATCTAAAAAGACCCTCAGAGTGACACAGCAAATAAGCCCTCCAAGAATCTGTGTGTTCAGCCTGGGCTCCGAGCCCCTGCAGCTCTACCTGCGGGTCTGTGGATCCGGTGTGTTGAGACTCGGATGGCACCTGTGGTTTGTGGTGGTGGGTTGGCGGTCTCAGAGCAGGCAGAAGATGGGCATATCTATAGCTACTTTCGAGTCTGGGACAATATGACCTCCCACAGTTGCTAGAAACTGCTCATACCTGCCCAAGCAAAATTCATCCAACAGCTGCCATGAGATTTATTTTCCCTTCGTTCTTCGGTCTCAACTCCAGGGCTCTCCCGAGCAGGACAGAAGGTGGGGGTGGGGTGAGAGGCGGGGATTAGTCACTAACTGCAGTCTTCACACCTTTTATATTTGTTTTCTTGCCTTTAACCCTCTCACATCCAGAAAGTACTCTAGTACACTACCCCTGCACTCCCACCCCAACCCCGGCTGGTAGGTAGACGCTGAAGTGGGGGAGAGAGGCGTCGTTAAGTTGTGAGACAGACGAGGAGGCGACAAAGGAACGTCCGGGGGACGGGCGTCCCGGGACCCGGGGGGCGCGCCCA